CCCCCGGGGCTGCCCCGAAGAGGGAACATCCTCTGCATCCCAAGGAATCGTGACTCCACAGGAGGTGAAAGCCAGGGGCTTTTCGGATTAGTGCTCTTAGGCTCAGGGGCTGTCAGATTTTTAGAGAAACCTCAGAACCCCTCTTTCCACAAATGGAGACACTGAGGCCTCAGGAATGGAAGGTACAGGTGTATCCACACACAATGGCACTAAAACCAAAGTGGGGATAGGGGTGGTGCTGGGGAAGGGCTGGGCTCCCTCCCCACCCCCATGATGGCCCTCGGCCCTTCTGAACAGCTTCCAACAAAAGAAAGCAAGGTGCTTATTACACTGAAGGCTAAGACAAATTTGTAGCCCCCTCTCATTTCCAGTCAGACGCGGCCCTCAGTTCCCTGTGTAGAGACTCACCAGTACACACAGACACACACACACACCAGACAGACACACATACACACACAGCACAGAGACACAGACACACACAAACCAGACAGACACACATATACACACAGCACAGAGACACAGACACACACAAACCAGACACATACACGCACAGCACAGAGACACAGACACACACACACCAAACAGACAGACACACATAGACACACATCACAGAGACACACGCAGACACACAGCCACAGTGTGTGTTGGGGGGATGATTCCTGGAGCCCCCTCGGGTCACACAAGCGCACAGGAGTGCTGTCCTTAAAGCCTGTCTACAAATCGCAGCTCTCCATAGTTCTCACCCATAACTAAGGAGAAAAAAACGAAAAAGACAAAAAAATGTTTTTTGAGAGAATGTGAAAAGGCAGAGACCAAAAGCGAAAGACAAAAAGAACAGGGTAAGAGGCTTGGAGAGCGCGGGCACCTCCCGGGTGGGGGCGGGGAGGGGCTCCGCGGGGGGCGGGGCCGAGGTGCTCCGGAGGCCGCGGCGGGAGAATGAGTTGGGGCCGGAGGGGCGGTCGGAGTCTCAGTGCAGCGACCTTTAATTAAAGACCCTAGAGGAGGAGCGAGGAGGGGGCTCAGGGATTGTCGGCCCGGGTTAGCTCCTCCCCTGCAAGTCGCCGTCCCCCTCCCCAAAAACACAGAATCACTCAATCTTGCGGGCACAGGAGAAGGAAGGTGACCCTGACGCTGCCTCCCGCTCGGCCTGGCCCCTCTCCCTCCCACTTTAGGGTTGCGGGGAGGCGGTCTAGCGGCCGGGGGGTGGGGGGGGTGGGAGGGGGACAGGGGAGGCAGGGAGAGAGAGGATGCTGAGGACCTGACGCGGGTACCCGGGGTGAGGGTTGCCATAGGAACCGCTGAGGCGACGTCCCTAGGAGGGAGAGGGGAGGAGCTCGGTGAGAAGAGAATGGGAAGAGGAGGGGGCTACAGGATCCGAGGCGGGAGACTGCGGCGGAGGCGCGCGGAGGGAGGCGGACAGGAAGCTGACAGGCGCGAGGGCCTGAAGATGGATAGCATTTCTCGCCTTTGCAAGCCCTCACTCAGTTCTTCCCAGACCCCCAGACCCGCCCACTCCAGCGTCCAGGGCGCCCTCCTGCAGGGCGAGCCTAGGGAAATCAGGCCAATTCTCCTTGTCCTAACCGCACCACTGTTTCTGACCAGACTACCCGTTCCCTGGTCAAAATTAACTGCATCCTTTCCCCTAGAGGGAAACTGAGGCAGGGAGAGTGGGAAGGGGTTTCTAGTAGAGAGGTGGGTAGAGGTCTTGTCCTTTGAAGCCTCTGTCCCTCCTATCAACCCTGAGATGTCTCGGGGCGATGGGTCTGGTGAGGTCTCTGGCCCCCGCTGCTTCCCTGGGACCCCACCCCCCAAAGCCCGAGGCACGCCAGGGCTTGGGCGCCGCTGTCCTGCCCGAGGCAGGACACAGCCGGGGCGGGGATGCGGGCAGGGCTGGGGGTTCTCCGGAACTCCGGAGAGGGCGGGGTGGGGGTCGGGCTGCGCGCGGAGCAGGGCTGGGCTCACCTCTCTGCCTGCTGCCTCCGCCGAGCAGGAGCCAGAGCGCGAGCCCCGCAGAAGCGGGTTAGGTCGGCGCCTGCGCCGCAGCCGGGGGCGGGGGTGAGGCGGGGGTGGGAGGGGGGCGCCGGCCCGCCCCACGGGCTGGCTCTGCAGATTGTGGACCCCTGCGGGACCGCGAACCCCTGTCCCCTTCCAGACTTCCTTTCTCTCTCTGAGACCCCAGGTCCCTCACGGAGACCCCACCCTCTCCGTGCGCCCCACCCCCTCATGCAGTCCTTCAAACTCATTACCGGCCCTCCCATCACTCCCTCAATCTCCCACCGCTCTCGCTGAAGCCCCTCGCCCTCACCGAGCCTTCATTTCCTCACTGTATCCTTAGTTTCCTCTCTGGTCTCCATCCCCCTCATGGACCCACCCACCCACTCCCCAGTATATAAACTCTCATCTCCTCCTTGAGCCCCCCCTCCTTCACAGACTCACCTCTCTCTCTGAGCCCCCACCTGTGGCTGAGCCCCACCGCTGGGTCGCTGGGCCCCTAGCAGGAAGTCCCCTCCTGCTTGCATCAGGAGCCCCTTCTCTCTTACTGAAGCCCTAGCCCTGACTGAGGCTCCCCTCCTCTCTCTATTTCCTTTTCCTCTTTGAGCCCCTACCCCTTGCTAGGGATCAGCCCCATTATCTGGAGAAGGAGTCACGGTGGGGAGGAGGAGTTGGGAGGGGACACCTTCCTTCCTTTCCCCTCTGGAAGGAGCCAATGAGACAACCTTCCTTCTTCTCTCTCCCAACCTACCCTTCGTTATGCCCTGGGCAGTGTGTGCCCTGTGGCCCATCTCCCCAGCGAGGCAGGCCTTCCAGGCAGCTGGGCTTACTTCATTCTTCGTCATGTGCCCACAACCTTGATTTCGTCCACATTTGCTGTGTGGTCTTGGGAAAGTCACTGCACCTCTCCAAGCTTCATCAGGGACCATGGCATAAACACGCCTTCATGCCTTGAGCGTCCATTCTGTCTCTCCTTGTGCTAGGGGCTGGGGACACAAACAAAAATGAGCTCCACAAGATGGGACCACATCTTTTTCATTTGCTATTGTCTCCCTAAGCCTCGCATAGTGCTTGGCATTGAGTAGGCAGCTCAATAAATATTTACTGAACACCGACTGACAATAATAGCAAATATATGGTGCCTGTTACGTGCAAAGGGCTTGCCTAAGTGGTTTATAGGTACTACTTACTCATCCAACCATGTGTGTGTGTGAGGGGGAGAGTGGGAGGAAGGCCTGGAGCTCAAGACTAAAGGCCTAGGGGCGGCCTGGTGGGGTAATACTTAAGTTCGTTTGCTCTGCTTCAGCTGCCTGGGGTTTGTGGGTTCGGATCCTGGGTACAGACCCAGGCACTGCTCATCAAACCATGCTGTGGCAGCGTCCCACATACAGAATAGAGGAAGACTGGCACAGATGTTAGCTCAGGGTCAATCTTCCTCACCCCCCCCCCAAAAAAAACCTAAAGGCCTTGAGTGGTAACAGGAGATGAAGCTGGAGAGGCAGGCATTCATGAGACCCTGCTGGGCCTCGGGAGCCAAGGTCAGGAATTTGGACTTCCGCCCAAGGGTAGTGGGGAGCCACGGAAGGGTTGTAAGGAGGGGAGAGGGTGTGGTCTGGTTGGCACTCTGATAAGATCCCTCTGGCTGCTGTTCCCTCAAGAGAACAGGATGGAAAACTCAAGAGCGGCCGCAGAGAGGCCAGTGAGGATGCTCCAGATCAGAGATGACGGTGTCCTGGCCTACGGGGCTCGCAGAGAAATGAATGGATTTGGGACATGTTAGGGGGTAAAATAAACTACACGGATAGCAAAAGATTGGAAACAACCTGTGGCAGTTTTAAAACATGGCTGCAAATTCTTTAGCACTTCTCCTACAGAGAGACAGGGTCTAGGGACCCTTTCTTTGTATCTCGGGTGAGCTGATGACTGCTTCGACCAACAGAGAATGGTGGAAGTGGTGCTCTGACTTCCAAGGCTAGGATGTAAAGGACATGCACTTCCTCTGGAACTCTAGCTCTTGGAGATCCGAGGTGCCGTGCAAGAAGTCTGTCTACCTTGAGGCTGCCATGCAGTGAGGAAGCCAAAACCACACGGAGAGCCCACAAGAAGGCGCCACAGTCCCAGCTGAGCTTGGCCTTTGTGTCATCCCAGCTCAGGCGTGAGACAAGCGATTGAAGAAGCAGCCAGGTGATTGCAGTCCACAGCCTTTCAAATCAGGATCAGCTCCAGTGGTGTTGGAGAGGGGCTGGAGGAGGTTCTGGAGGTCATGGGAAGGGATGAGATCAAATGTGCAGGAGGATGGGCTGGCCCTGAGCCAGCACAGGAAGGATCCGGTATCCTCTGAGGCCCAGGGAAGGAGGGGAGGGTGGCCACTGAGAAGAGATGCAGCGTGTTGGTTGTGAGTTGAACTCTGGAGGCAAACAGATCCAGGTTTATTCTTGGTTCTACCACTTGCTGCTCACATGATTTAACTGCTCTGAGCCTCAGTTTCCCTCACTGTACAATAAAGATAATATTAGTAGTTGCCTCTCAAAAGGGTTATAAGAGTGAAATGAGATGTGCATAGAAGACATTTAGCGAAGCACCTGAAACAGAGTAAGAACTCAGTACATCACTGTGTTTGTTACCACCATCATTGCTACGTTAGTCTATAGGTGGTGAGGGTAGGAAGTTGAGTGACGTGACACCTGATAAATTGAATGCTCTTGAGTAAAACAAGAGCCATTATCTGAGAAAAAGGAAAGTTTTAGCTCAACAGGAGGCTTAAAAAGGTGGTAAAGCAGACATGATCGGTGACATATTGTATGATTCCATATATATATATGAAATATCCAGAGTCAGAAAATCCAGAGAGACAGGAAACATGAGTAGTTCCTAGGGTCTGGGGGAAGGGAGGAGGAATGAGGAATGACTGCTCAGTGGGTTTCCTTTGGGGTAATGAAAATGTTCTAGAACTAGATAGTGGTGATGGTTGCACAACATTGTGAATGCACTAAATTTTATGTTACATGTATTTTACCACAATTTCTCAAAAAAGGTAGTGAAGGGCCAGCCCTGTGGCGCAGCAGTTAAGTGTGCATGTTCTGCTTCGGTGACCCGGGGTCTGCCGGTTCAGATCCTGGGTGCGGACATGGTACCGCTTGGCAAGCCATGCTGTGGTAGGCGTCCCACATAGCAAGTAGAGGAAGATGGACATGGATGTTAGCTCAGGGCCAGTCTTCCTCAGCAAAAAGAGGAGGATTGGCAGCAGATGTTAGCTCAGGGCTGATGATGGTGATTGATATCACTTGTTCCAGGATCATTTATCTTCTCAATAACCTTATGAGATAGGAGCTGTGATAACCCCCATTTCGCAGATGACAAACCTGGGTCTCAGGAGGTAAGTTACTTACCCAGGGTCATTCAGTCAGGATGTGGCAGAATCTGAATTTGCTCTGATAGCTCAGAGGCCATGATCGGTGGAGTCAGTGGTCTGCATGAGTGTGACTTTCTTTGGCAGTGTCAGGAAAGGTGGGAGTGAAGAAGAAGGCTGCTGGTATCCCAGCTCCTGGGTTAGGGTCCCCTGGACAGGTGGGGCAGAACGAGGGGACGCATGGGGATGCAGAGAGCAAGGGAAAGAGTAGATCCCATGATGAACCTCGGGATGGATGCTGACTCGGTGAGGAAAGATGCTAAGGCAGCCCAGGAGGGGAGCAGATGGATCTGGAGAAGACGCAGAGATTCCAGACTGAGGGGCTCAATGAAGTCCAAAAACAGGCGGATGGGAAGGAAGTGAGTCTGAGCTCAGAGGGTGCGACCCTGTAGTTAAAGATTTTAGGTGTACAACCTTGTAGGCGATGAGAAGGCCTAAGCCAGTGCTGTCCAATATAAATTTCTGCAAAGATGGAACGTTCTATATCTGTGTTGCCTTTACAGGAGCCACCGGCCACATTTGGCTGTTAACCATTTGAAATAAAGCTAGTGCAACTGAGGAACTGAATTCTAAATTTTATTTAACTTTAATTACCACTTTAAATTTAAGTTTAAATAGCCACACTCGGCTAGTGGCCACCCTATTGGACAGTTAAGTGTCAGTGGGACACACCTTGCTTCCAAGACCCTACTGTGGGCAGGATTGCTGCCATCTCAGACCCCTCAGCCACCCCTATTCACCCACTGCTTTTGCTCTGCCCCTAGTGGTCTCGTCGCCACATTGCAGCCACAGTGTTCCTTTCTTCCCCTGCTCAAAACCCTCTGTTGACGTTGCATCTTACTCAGGGTGAAAAGAAGACTGTGGTGGATTAAAGAGGGCCACTCAACTCTTTGTCACTCTGCCCTTCCAGATGGAGTCGATTTCTCCTCCCCTTGAATCTGAGTTGGCCCAGTGACTGCTTTAACCAACAGCATGTGGGGAAGGTAATGCTGTGTCAGTTCGGGACCTAGCTTTCAAACAGCCTGGCTTCCACCTCCCCTCTCTTGGAACACTCACTTGTGGAAAGTCTCCTCTTGGACGGCAGTCCCCATGCTGAAGAAGCCACATGGAGAGGCCACATGTAGGTGCTCCGGTTGACAGTCCCAGCCACACTTGCAGCCCACACCGTGTCGGACAGCATCATGGGAGTGAGTCATCCTGGATGTTCTAGCGCACTGGAGCCCCCCAGATGACATCACGTGAGCAGAAGAACCATCCCGCTGAATCCTGTAGGCCCACAGAATCTGGAGAGATAATTAAATGCTGTTGTTTTCAGCTACTAAGTTGTGAGACATGCAATAGACATCCCAAACCAGTCCTCATTATGGCCTATCATTGCCCCCTCGCCCACAACCTTACCACCCTCCTTGATCTCATCCTCTTCCATGCCCTCACTCACTGTCCTCCAGCCACGCTGGCCTCCTTCCTCGGCCTTGAATGAACCACATTCCTTAGGCAAACTCCTACCTCACGGCCTCAGGGCCTTTGCCTGTGAGTGCTTCTCTGCCTTTATTGCTCTTTCTCCAGATATCTGCATGGCTAGCCTCTTGCTTTATTCAGATCTCTGCTCATATGGCATCTTATCAAAGAGGTTTTATTTAAACACTGTGGTAGAGACGCAGACTGCTCACCAAATTTCCATGTGCTCCATGTATATTTCCCAGTCCCCTTGAAATGAGTCCAAGCCACGTGATCAGTTCGGGCCAATGAGCTACCAGCAGAGCGATGCAGGTCACTTCTGGGCCAAAGCCTTGGTTCTGGTTGCTATGCTGCATAACAAACCAACCCCAAACTTAGTGACTCAAAACAACAACAATCATTATTTTGCTCCCAAATCTGCAATTTGGGCAGGCCTCAGCGGGCAGGATTGAGTCTGCTCCACTTGGCTTCAGCTGGGGAGGATTGACCGGGGACTGGAAAGATCCACTCCCAAGGTGGCTTGCTCACATGGCTGGCAAGCTGTCGTGGCTGTTAGGTGGGCGCTCAGCTGGGGCTGAGGGCCAGGAGCCTCAGTTCTTCTCTGTGTGGGACTCTCCGCAGTTTCTCAAGCTTCCTCACAGCCTGGTGGCTGGCTCCCAAGACTAAGGATCCCAGGAAAGAGGTGATGACAGCTCTAAGTTTCTGGAGGCCAGAGTCTAGAAACTGGCATAGTGTCACTTCTACTCTGTGCTGTTGGTCACAGAGGCCAGATTCAAGGGGAGGAGACATACTCCCCAACTCTCAGTACGAGAAATGTCAAATAATTGCGGGGCCATGTTTTAGAACTGCTAGACCATTTAGGAGCTGGTGCATCACCACTCGGTTATCTTTTCTCCTGACAGGACACTTGTGGAGGCTATTGTGGTGACACAGTAGAGTCAACAGTTGGAAGCTGACTGGAGTGTTGAGTCCCTGAGTGGAGGACAGCTGCTCCGAGAGTCACAATATCAGAATATATTTACATATTTTTATAAATATATTATATATCTTTGTTGTGTCAATCCATTGATATTTTAGAGTTAGTGTGTTATGTCACAATCCAGCCTATCCTGATTGGTAAAGAAATTGGTACCAGAAGTAGGGTATTTATGGAACCAAACCCAAAATATGTGGCAGTGCCTTAGTGGTTCGGGCAGCAGGCAGGAAAGTTGGCAATCTTTGTTATGCAGAAGCAACACATTTGGTAAAACTTCTACTGCGGTAACTTTGGAAGCAGACTGTATGGGTGCCTTTGGCTGCGTTTGTCCAAATATTCAAGAGAGAGCTGAGTTCAGGAAAGAACTGGCTGGTTTGCAAACAAAAATAAAAGGAAATAGAGTTCAGAAACTTAGATCCTTGCAGAAGTCGAAAAGTCTAATGCTTCCAGACCCCAAGCAGAAAGAGATGAGCTTTAAAAAAGTGCTGAACACAGTAAAATCTGTGAATTCATTAAAATGTTTCAGGGCAAAGGTTAGGTTAGGGGTGTGGTCTTCACTCTCATTTTAAAAACGTCTCTATTGATTAAAGTATCTTGGGCTAGAGTCAATTAAAGTAAGAGATTGGATTTTAAGAGGCTTTGGATGAAACATACTCTGCAAAATTTCTCAGATGGACACAATGATTCAGGGCCAAGATCATATTTGAGGTGTGGCTTTACCACCTACCATTCCTGATGGCCGCCATTAAATGAAGAGAGCTCTTGGAGGTAAGAATGCGAAGAAAGCAAGCAAACCTAAGGACTGTGTGTTGAAACATATTGTGCATATGGTTTTAGTGCACAAACTGGAGTCAAATGGCTAAGAACTCTGTTTTTGAGAGAACTGTTCTGACAAAGAAATCACAAGCCTGTGATAAAAAAAAAACCATGACTGAAGCTGAAAATGATCCTAGGAACCTTCACCCATTAGCATGGCTACTATCAAAAAAATCAAAGCAAAAACTGAAAATAAGTGCTGGCAAGGGTGTGGAGAAATTGGAACCGTTGTGCAGTGTTGATGAGAATGTAAAATGGTGTAGCTGCTGTGGAAAACAGTACGGCAATTCCTTGAAAAATTAAAAATAGAATTACTTTATGATCCAGTAATTCCACTTCCGGGTATATACTTAGAAGGATTGAAAGCAGGGTCTCTTGAAGAGGTATTTGCACACCCATGTTCATAGCAGCATTATTCACAACAGCCCAGAAGGTGGAAACAACCCAAGTGTCCATTGGTGGATGAATGGATAAACAAAATATGGTATATACATCCAGTGGAATATTATTCAGCCTTAAAAAGGAAGGACATTCTGACACATGCTACAACATGGATGAACCTGCAAGACGTTAAGTTAAGTGAAGTAGGCCAGTGACAAGCAGACAAATACTGTATGATTCCACCTATATGAGGTACCTAGAGTAGTCAAATTCAGAGGCAGAGTAGAATGGTGCCTGCCAGGGGCTGGTAGGTAGAGACTGACGAGTTATTGGTTTAATGGGTAGAGAGTTTCGGTTTTGCAAGATGAAAAGAGTTCTGGAGATGGATGGTAGTGGTGTTTACAAAATAATGTGACTACTTAATGCCACTGGGCTGTACAAATAAAAATGGTTAAGACGGTAAATTTGATTTTATGCATAGGTTACCACAGTTAAAAAACAAAATAGATCCTAGGATCCCCAACAGTTTATAGGCAGCAAGTGGACTGAAAAATCTGTGTACCTCCCAGGATCATGAGGCAGCCCTGGGCCTTGTTGCCTTCCAGTCCGATCCTTGCTCCCTGCTCTGCGGGGCCAACCCCTGGAGGCCACGGTTCCCAGCCTCCCTTGTCAGCAGGCCTCTGGACAGGAGGCTGTGGGAGAAGGGGAGAAGCCATGGTTTTTCTGCCCTTCCTCCTCCAGCTCCCCTAGCTTATACTGACTTTACAACCACCTGATTAAGAGAACAGCCCCTCCTCACACATTATCCCCTTTACCACGTGACTGTATTATGTTTATTTATCTGTCTATTGACTGTGTGTTTCCATCCAGTAAAACATAAGCTCCGTGAAGGTGGTGACTATCTGTCTTGCTCATTGATGAATTCCCCATCCTGAAGACAGTGCCTGGCACAGAGCAGGCACTCAGTAAAGATTTCTTGAAAGAGTGAATATATTTAGCAGTTGAATCAAACACACAAGAGAAAAAGGAAAGCCCTAAGGAGCTTCTGTCAAGTATTTATAATCTGCAGTCAAAGCCAGAGAGGTCAGGTCAGTTCTTTAAGTCACACAGCAAATCTTCCACTGACCTCCAACCCAGGCCTCTTTCTGTTCTGGGTTTATATCCAGGTCTCCAAAGAGATCCTTGGCCTTAGATTTTTTTGGAGGAGAAACAGCAGAACTTGACATTCATTTAGTTAACAGGAAACCCTGAAAACAACTGGGGGTGAGGAATTGGGTTGCTAAGAAACCTCAGAGGATGGGGAAGAGGTGTGGCATCCACTGCTAGGCAACCTAGAAGAAGCTAGATGGGCAGGTATGGCTTCACGCACCTTTCTCCCTCCTATTCGTAGGCTCCTAGAATGCCAGGCTGGATATGCTCTTAAAGACTTCCAGTCCAACCACCCAACTGTACAGACGGGGAAACTGAGGCCTCAAAAGGCAGGGTAATGAGCCCAAATTTCCTCCAATGTCTCAACAAGAGCAAAGACAAATGACATTGGAGGTCATTGCCATGGGGAGTGGCCTGGCATGACTGAGGCAGAGTTTCAGGGTAGAGCTGGTAGCTGGAGTCTATAAGACAGCAAAGAAGGCAACTGCAAAAGGCACTGAGTGCCAGGCCAAGAACTTCAGACTATTCTGAGGGTCACAGGCAGCCACCAAAATGTTTTCGTTGGTGGTCAGATGTGTCAGATTTGTGTTTTCCAAAGACCCCTCGGGCTGCAGTGTGGAGACTCAGGGTAAAGTCCAAATGCCTTCAAGGCCCTTCGTGCTCCTGCCAGTCTATCCCCTCTCTCCCCAGCATCCCCTCCAGCCACAGCCAACTTCCCTCCGTGTCAGCCTCTCTTGCCAGGTCCTCCCACTTGTGGTGCCTGGTGTCTGGAAAGCCTGGCAGTTTGGAGGAACAGCAAGAAAGCCAGTGTGGCTAGAGCATGGTGAGAGAAGGAAAAAGAGGTAGGAGATGAGTCCCAGGGTGGGCTGCGGGCCAGATCACATAGGGCTTCGCAGGCCATGCTGAGGACTTTGGCTTTTAGTCTGAATGAGATGGAGGCCGTTGGAGTTACGAGCAGAGGCGGGACATGGTCTGATCTTAATCAGAGCCCTCTGGCTGCTATGTGGACAAGACCACTCTGATTGGGGCAAAGGAGAGAGCAAGGCGTCCTGGAAGGAGGTTGGTACAGGATACCAGGCAAGAAATGGTGGGGGCCGGGTCCAGGAAGGTGGCCATGGAAATGGTGAAAATTTGTAGGGGATCAGAATTGGCCACCCCAAAATATGTCTCTTTACCTTGATTATTTTTAAGGACAAAAAGACTCTGAAAGAAACTTTGACCTTCTGCCCTAACTGCCTAAAAGAATTTAAGATAGAAGGCCTGTTCCAGGAAGGAGCTAATATCATAAGATAACTGTAGTGTAATGTGAAATGTGTCTCTCAGGTCACATTGGTTATAGTTAGCCCATTTGCATTTCCATCTCCACGTGAATTGCCTTCCTCCCCTTTGCAGCCCCAAACCACTACCCCAACCTCCTCCTTTGTCTTTAGCTGAAGATGGTATTTAAGGTGGTGGCTTCAGCCATTCTGGCTGAATTCTCAGCTTTCCTGGGTTTCTCCCATGTATACACATTCTAAAGCTTTGTTTGATTTTCTCCTGTTATTCTGTCTCATGTCAATTTAATTCTTAGGCCAGCCAGAAGGACCAAGAGGGGAGAGGAATTGTTTTCTTTCCCTACAAAGTGGTAGGACACACTTTGAAGGTAGAGCCAACAGGATATAAGGGATATGAAACTATGAGAAAAAGAGGGGTCAAGGATGATCAGTGGTTGCTGACCTCCTGGTAACACAGATGTGAGGATGTGGGCTGGGGGAGCAGTCTTTGCAGGACGGTGGAAACAAGAATTCCTTTTTAGACACGCCAATTAGATATCCCCGTGGAGATGACAAGAAGGCTGCTAAACGTACCAGTCTGGCAAGGCTGCAGTGGAGACACAGACTTCAG